AAAAAAAAAAATCATGGCCGACAAATTGAGAGAACGGTTCTACCTTGCTATGTTTTTATCATGGTTTGAACTATCATGGGCGTACTCGGGTACGGGCTAAGTGAAAAAATCCGTCACCGAAAAAAAAAATTCTCAAAAATCAACGCGTGTTTTTAGCCATTTTAAGCTTGCACTTCATTAGACTAAAATTGTATAGGCTATAAAACTGCATACCTACAAGTTGAAATTTTGATGAAAATTTGTTGTATTTTTCTAAATTTTGTATAAAGTTTGAAACTGTGATTTACACGGGTTTAGTTAAAGCTTAGACGATATTTTTATTAAAAATATCAAAAATAAATAAATTATTTCGAAAAACATTGCGAATATTTGAATAAAATCAACACGTGGTCATTTGTTTGAGTCACTGTATGTATGGTATAGACGAGCCCGTTAAAAAATCAGATTTTCTTATACGCAAAACAGTCCCATTGGCTGTTAAAAACGCAGATTTCCGAATTGCTAGTTTTGTTTTCAATGATGATCAAGACGAAATGCAAAAGTTTATTAAGTAATGCCAGCTTGGCTTATTTCCGTGGATGTACTATTTTAAGTACTTTTAAATTCTTCGTAAAATATAAAGTAGTCTTTCAAAGAATTAAAAAATTAGTCAAACAAATAGAAAATCCCCAGACGGAATATCCGCTCAACAATAACTTTCTGTAGGTACTTTTCTTGACAACTCTTCGACTGCAATTGTGCTTTCGGGTACGTTTACGGTCATTATGCTGGCTGGGTGTTTGCAGATAGAATTTTATTATTGATTTTTACTTCTATTGTTTTTCGGTGCGCAGCTGCAAGAAGTCCACTAGGTACGAAATTTTTTAAAACTTTAAATTATTGCAAGTTTGAAGAGCACAAATTCAAGAAATAAATATCTGGAGAAATTTAGAGTTGACAATTATTGATAATCCAATAATATACATAGCTCGTTCCAGAATCAATTTGTAGTTCAACACGTCTCAGATTTACTATGAAGCGTCAGAACGTTCGTACTCTATCGCTGGTCGTCTGTACATTCACTTATTTGCTCATTGGTGCGGCAGTCTTCGACTCCCTCGAGTCGCGGACCGAAGCGAAGCGTTGGGAATTCTTGCAAGGTAAAGTCATAATGAACAATTTTCAACTCCAAAACGAAATCTATGTATCTGCATACTTACTTATATTATTTACAATTCAATATCTAAATATTTCGAGTAGTTAGTAAGTTTTGTATGCATAGGTATGTATTTATATATTTATACACCCATATTTAAATGTACACAAAACGCTTGTTTGCTGAAAGAAATCCATAATCATAAAAAACGTGGTTACCATCCCTTCTCCTTTGTGTCTAAAAAAATTGATGCCAGTAATTACTAACTGTGCTTCATACGACAGAAGGTCTTCCTTGCTACTTTACTCATTTCCACTTTGTTTAGCAATTACTAATACAACACTATTTCAGCGACAAATCTCAGTTTGTTTATATGTATATGTAGGTAAATTCATACACCAATGCTTAAAATAGTTACATAACTGGATTTAACTATGAAAAAAGAAAGTCGTTTTTAAGAAAATATTAACGGAGAATTGAAGACATTACAATTTTACAGCAGAAGCAATAACCCCGTAGAAACATTCAACGTTCTCATCTGATGTGAAAGTAACATGCAGGCACGTTCTGCAGATCGTAGAATTTAAAATCGGTTTGATTTACAACACATTTCTGATTGCCTCTATAAGATAGCCGAATATCAAAAAATAAACAAGGAACGCTGTCTAACTACTGCACCTTGTTTATTGCGCAAGGATCGCATATAACCGCTTATTATTTATTTTTAGATCATTGCGAAATCTTTATTTTTTCATATTGATCGAGAATAATCGTTAAATTTGTATCTTTATGTTTTCGATCAAATTTGATCGACATTTTGTAATTTTAATTTTTTTAGATAATTTTAACCATCCAAAACGGTGTTTTTATGACCGCTGTGTATAATTAAAACAGTCCGATTTTTAGCAAAATTGAGGGCCGGTTTTACAATACATTTTTTAGTTGAACTTAAGTCTAACTTAAGATTTTGCGTTTCACCAACCACTTTTTGAGCAAATCTTAAGTTAAACTTAAGTCGCGGCTATCGGCGACTAAAAGTAAACTAAGTCGACAAAACAGCTGATTTAGCAAACAGATGCTTATGATAAATTTTGATTGAGAAGCAAAACGATTTTTCGGAAAAATAAAGTAAAGGCACAAAATGGATTTTGATTTGAGTTGGGAAGATGATAATGATTCGGAATACGAAGAGGCACACCAGCAAATCAATTTCATTTCGACCGAAATTTATTCTCCTCTTATTTTCTGACATTTTTGTTAATATATAGTTCAATATTTTATATTTCTTTGCTCAAATATTACACTTTACATAAACCGCATACACTATCTCCTCAGTTGTTTTGTATTTGAAGAAATGTCAAAACATGTAAACAAAGCATTTTTTGTGGTCCTGCCATACTTTTTAACAATATATTTTCCATACTTAAGTACGCATTGTGAAATGCAAGCTTGAACAAAACCTTAAACTGTTCTTAGCTAAGATTTTTCTCAACTAGAACTTAAGTTCAACTTAAGTTTAGATTGTGAAACTGGCCCTATGAATAGGTTAAGGAAAATTATTTGAATTACTAGGTGCTTACTGCTCGCGTGATGAAATCTGACGTCAAAACAACATTGGCGCATTTAGCCAGGTGATTTTAACAAAAATGGATGGGAAATACTTCAATACACATACATATATGAAACAATATATGAACAATTGAATTGAAACTTAAGTTGACCGCTCATCTCAACCACTCACGTAATAGACCAAGAGCTCATGACCAAAAAACTCATCATACTTCAGATCGATTGAAACTTTTTGTGAGCTTAGCTTTTTAATATGTATATAAATCGAGATCCGGAGGGCGGGCTGCTGAACAGCGGTCTTGATTATGCGTTTTTAGCGATTAAAGATGTCTATGAAAACCGATTACTCGACATACTTCAGACGACTTGAAATTTAGATAGAATTTTATTTACAGTGTATAGAAAATGAATTCAAGGTTGCCTGCCAATTCTGATGGTCTTAAAGTACTGCCAGCCCATGTAGAAAGTGCATGGTTGCCACGATAACTCAACATACTTCAGATGGGCTGTCCTTATCACAGGACGTTATTAATATTATAAATAGATGAAATGTCTACAGCCAGCCCCTTCTGATGGTCTTAAAGTACTGCCAGCCATGAAATGAAATGTAGATTGGGCTGGCTGTAGATATTTCATCTATTTATAATATTAATAACGTCCTGTGATAAGGGCAGCCCATCTGAAGTATGTTGTTTTACAGTTGCAACAATGCAATTTCAACGTGGGCTGGCAGTACTTTAAGACCATCAGAATTGGCAGGCAACATTGAATTCATTTTATATACACTGTAAATAAAATTCTATTAAATTTCAAGTCGTCTGAAGTATGTTAAGTATTCGGTTTTCATAGACATCTTTAATCGCTAAAAATGCATAATAAAGACCGCTGTTTAGCAGCCAGCCCTCCAGATCTCGATTTATATATTAACAAGCTAAGCTCACAAAAAAATTCAATCGATCTGAAGTATGATGAGTTTTTTGGTCATGAGCTCTCCGTCTATAACTATTTTCGTAATTTACCCTATGAGTAAACACGAAAAAGCCAACCGTGGATAGCTATGTAGGTATGTCTGACATCAGTTTTTCATGCGTTAAATTGCATGAACGGATGCTTGAAAACTGTCAGTTTGCAACATAATAGCTTTGTTCCACATGCTTTCTGGACTGTTTCGGTAATTAGAGTGTAGAAATAAATTACTCTCTCACAAGTGTCAAAATGTGCAGAAAGAGCCCAGAGATGAGGAACGCAAAAAAAACACAATTCCTGCCGGGAATCAAAAAGCATCTGCTTCACTTGTTTTTGCTTTTGTGATTTCAAACACTTGCTTCAATTAGAGCAGCTGCAACATTTGCTTAGCTTTTATTTTCGGAGAATCTGAAAGAAAAACCATGATTTTATGGCTAATAAAATGAGCGAATATCTATATTTTCCGAAACTTTTGCGGCATTTTCCATTTGTGCCCGGAAAAAAACTCCGGACTCTTTCGAGCACGAAGAAGAATACGTTTGCGATCCAAAAGTAGAACATATCCCATCTCTATTACCAATTTTTCTAGCGTTTTGCTTTCTGGGCCATTTGATGTACTAGAATTAGCTTTGTTTCACACACTTTCCGGGCTGTTTCGGTAGTTAGAGTGTAAAAATAAGTTATACTCTCACAAGTGTCAACACGTACCAAAAGTGCCCAGAGCGTGAGGACGCAAAAAACCACATTTCGTGCCCGGAATCAGCAAATCAGTTCTAAACAATGATTTTATGTGTATTTATCTTTATGGCGAATAAAATTACCAAATAACTACATTTTTAGAAACTTCTGTGGCATTTTCCATTTCCACAACAGCTGTTATGGCAATTTAACTTTTTAAACATTTGTACCCGGAAGAAAAGTCCGGGATGTTTCGGGCACGAAGAAGAAGACATTTACGATCCAGAATTGGAACGCATTCGCTCTCTATTACCCATTTTTAAAGCGTGAGGAACGCTTTCTGGGTTGGTTTGGGCACCAGCGGGATCCCGCGGGCGCGTGTGGAACAAATCTATCGTTTCTTCACACTTCCTAAGTGGTAGTACGGTATTCATATAACGTTGTTTCAATTTCATAATTAACTACTATGTATCACAAATTGGTCCATATGCATAAAGACTAAGCAATTGCTTTTTCTTAAAATGTCATACCTTTCACTCATATTTATTTGAAAAAAATTCGAGTAAAGGTCTGAAATTTTAAGAAAAAGCATTTGCTTATGTTTTATGCATACGGCCAATTAAGTACGTATTAAAATTGGTTGTTTGCATAAGTTTAGATGTAATTTGCAAAGAAATTTATGTACATATTATTAATTTAGGTTGTTCACACATTCCTGTTTATTAGGTTATACACATGTCCATATATATGTATAAATTCAATTATTCAAATCAGTTCTTATCAGTTGCTAGATTAAAATTTTCTAGATTTTAAAATAACACATTTTTTGTTCTTACCTAAAATTCAATTATAATTGAAGTTTTATATAATAGGGGTCTTCATCAAAAGTGATAAACTCTTGATAATCTTCATAAAATGATAAATTTATCATTTTGATGAATGAACTGTCAAAATTTGTATGAAAATCTATTTAACCAAAGTTTATCACTTTATCAAACGACCTTGGTGGATAAATGTATAAACTTCAGCAAAATTCAACCCTTACAGGTTGCCAGGTAGTCGCTTTTGCTACGAACACACAAAAGCTAATGAACACAATGGACGAGGTAAGAATGAAACCAAGGCGAGTTTATACAATGTGGTGTTGATGGCGAATTTACATTTTCGCCGCGGTACTTATTATTGTCAAAATAGTGTGTTTGTTGTAATATGAATTCGCCTTGTTTACAACAAACACATCATTTTGACATTTATAAGTACCGCGGCGAAAATCTAAATTCGCCATCAACACCACCTTGTATAAACTCGCCTTTAATGAAACGTAACTAGCCAGATAAGTTAATTAATAAACAGTTTTATGCAAATATTTACCAAGGTGCGTTCATGAAAGAATGCGGATAAACTCATAAATTTAAGCAATTTGTCTCTTTATCACTTTAAATGAAGACCCCTAATATGTATTTGCATATAACAATTAATTTTAATTTAAATTATGAATAACATTTGCCCCTAGTACTATTTCAGTTCCAAATCAGTAGGCCCCCTTTCTTCCTCTCCAATATTAAGCAATGGTGGAATACGACGTCTTCAACATCATGCATATAGCACGGTGTCGATTTTTTCAGCACTTAAGCTTATACAATTCGTTGTTTTTATTGAAATTGCCGAAAATGTAAAAACAACCTTACGTCAATAAATGCTCAACCTTAACAAAAATATGTAGCTCTTCATTTCAGCTACTATTAGTATTATTTAGCTCTTTTTTCGACCGTTTTAACCCCAAACGAAATT